AAAACTTTGTCTTCAAAATAAGAGTGCGTCTTATATTCCGAAAAATACGGTAATCCAAAAGGAAAAGCAACACATGTCACGTGTACACAAGCTGCTTCCATAACATATTTGTTCAAGCTTCCATAATGCAACTGAAGAATGAAACGGCTATTCCATACGGAAACATACTGTTCAAGTCGCCTGACGCAGCGACTATGGATTTATCTGCCATCGGACTTACTCGTATATAAATGAAAGCATACAGGGAGGAGTAATGTGCTTTGGACACGACAGTCTTACAACTAAGTCTTTTGTAATGTAATCTAGGCTGCAGAACTATTGTAAAGGTACATGGTCGTCTGACCTTAAAATGAAACGGGGTTCCGTTCTTAAACCGTATTATAATTTGAAATACTATACAATAAATGTACGTCATGTTAACGCTAGACAATGTTTGAAAAATGTCAAAGTAATTATTTTCAATTTTCAAACTGAAACAGACTTATCATGATATTATAAGTCGCACTTGAAATCATAATGGGGTGATAGAGAAATTGGATTGAAACCAACCTCATTTATATATATATAATTTTTCTATTGCTTTATATCTGTAGAATGTCTATTAAACTTTTTTTTTAGAAATGAAAACGATAAAAAGGTTTGAAGAGCTGCAGATCAAGGCAGAAAATGACAAAACTTTCTTGAGTTACTTACGAATAAAAATGTACAAGTAAAATCACTAAAACGCCAACGTGTTACACAAAATAATAGTTGTTTTTCATTTGTGTGTGTGTGCTCAACTTGAAGAAGAAACTTCGGAGAATATGAGATTAAGTGACGTTTCCAAAAGTAGAATATTTTTATCTTGGTAAAAAACAACAACAAAAACTAAGCTACGTACTTGAAGCTTGTACAACTCATTCTTCTCTCTGTCTAAGACCACTTGGGAATCTTTTGGGAGAAAAAGAACAACTCCATTGTCTTCAATATGGAAAAGTTCGCTTCCTTGTCCACTTAAAGAGTAGTGAATTACAGAATTGTTCCCGCTGTCGTTGTCTACGGCCGAAACCAGGGGATGCTAGTAAAAAAATAACTTTGGTAAAACTGTGGCTACTGGATATAAATCATTGTCATAATTAATAACATATATGTTTATTTATGTATACTTACTAATTAGTTGCTAAGTTGAATTAAGTTGTATATAATAATTACCAATTATTTTAATTCAACATTTCTGTTGACAACCCGCTGTTATTTTCAGGGGAACCCTTGGAAAAAATTATATTATGTGGCAAGAACCGAGATTCGATCCTGGATCCTCTTATAAAATTCGTAAATGCGCTATACACTCATACCATTGAAGCTTGAATAAACTAATAACTCAAATGGTTTCAAGGGGAATATTCCAGGTTTTGAAGTTTTCTGTGCTAGTTTTTCTGTTAGTTGGATATAGAAGGTTGCTTATATAACGTGGTTCATACACAATTATTGAAGTTATTACAGTCTATTATATGACGTTAATCACTTTTACGAATGGTATTTGTTATTCATTTTTTTCTATTTCCATCATGGATTGTATCCCTTGATGTTATTAATTTTTTTTCTTTTCGTTGTGTTTTCTTGCTGTAGTTTCTCCTCATGATTACTGTTTAGTGTTTTATTTGTTTAATTGTCGTTATGTTTAGCAACTGTACCTTGAAAATGTATAAAGACTGATGTAAATTCATTTATCCTGCTTTAGATACTGAAGATGGAATCTGATAGAA